CCAGCAGCGACTTCGGGCGCGCCAACACTAAGGAGCTATGCGTCGGTCGTAGCTCCGCAAATGACAAAAACGGGGATACGAATAAGAATTGACGAAGCCAATAAACTGCAGCCAGAAGAGCTGCTTTCAAAAGTCAAAAAACACATCGATGGCGCATACGCGATTCGACAAATGCGGAGCAACGACACCGAGGTGTTTGTCCAATCGGCGTCCCAGAGAGACGCGGCGCTAAACATGCAACAACCAACAGAATTTAAAATCTTACGGCAGGAATTTCCAGTCGAGGTCTACAATGTCCCATTACGGATAAAAATCGAAGGGGGCAGAGATGCCAACAATTATGCCATCATCCGGGAGATAGAGATGGCAACAAAGGCACGAATTCCAGGTCTGTCGATCAAAATAATTCGATGGTTACACGACGGAAGGGAACACCAGCGATCAAAGAAAAATGGCCGCACTCGCGGAACAATAGAGGTAAGCCTTCTATTGGAGGCAATGCAGACGGAAGTGGTCCGAAACGGCCTAGTCATGAACGCCATGCTCTTTACCGCGCAGGTGTGGTCACCACGGGCCCAAACAAAGCAGTGCTTTAACTGCAGCCAGTGGGGACACACACAGGCGTCGTGTGGAAATGCAGCCAGGTGCGGTGAGTGCGCTGGCGCTCATCAAACTTGGGACTATCCGGGGAAAAGGATTTCTTGTGCGAACTGTGGCAAGGAGCACCGTTCGTGGCAGTAATAAGCGTGTCGGACCTACCAGGTCTACAAGGAAAGTGTGAAGAAGGCTCGGATGGAGCTACTATCCAGAACGGCGGAAATATGGAACGAAAAACCATCAATGGCGCCAACACGAACAGTCGGAACGACTGATGATCATGGATCCATTATGTCACCAGTAAAAAGGCTGAAGGACCCAAAATTGGGCCAGAACGACCACGCAAGGTAGTCAAAGCCCCAGTGGCACCAAACATCCCGACGGCAGCAGCACCACCATCGGGACCAACTCTTCGGACACTTCGAAGACCAACGCCGAGTGAAGAGGTGCCTTCTCTATTTAATTTCTCATAAATTTAGTCTGAATGAAGGGGGAGTTAACGAATTCTGGGGAAAGTTTATAAATTTGTGGTTGAAAGGAACGACCTCAGCATTAAGCCGGATCGGTTCAGAGTGGCAGGACATCAGGTTTTGTTTTGTTTAAAGCTTTTTCCCTCACCAAAGCGGCTTACCGTCTTCATGGATCTGAATATAGAAACCGCATAGGACGTTAAACGAGACTAATTCAATGATCAAAATCATAACCTCAGTCGCCAACAAAAACATTCTACCTACTTAAAAAGGTTAGAAGGAGAAGCTTTGATTAGGGGAGATAGACGGTCCGGAAGAATCAGAAAACCATCAAATAAGGCCGTAGAAATGCAAAATATCAGACAAGAATCAAACATAGTAATCGTGCTAGCTTTCTTAGCTACCCAATATGATGGACTCGACGTTCCCCAAACTTTTGAAGAAGCATTAAATACTCCGCAAGCAGATAAATGGTTAGAAGCATACGAGTCAGAAATGAACTCCCTCATTGCACCTGGAACCTTTTCAGGCCCTTTAGACAAAATACCACCTAACAAATAAGCAGTCACAGCAAAAATTGCCTTGGACCTGAAAAGAGGGGAGAGTAATGAGATCTTACGATTTAAGGCGCGACTATTTGCTAGAGGTTTCATTCAAAAGTATGGTGTCGACTTTGAAGAAACATTTGCACCGACAATTTTTCTTGATCCTATTAGAATTATTTTAGCTATTGCAGCCAGAGAGAAGTGGGATATCTACCAAATGAATATGGTCACCGCATTCTTAGCAGGGGAGCTTAATGAAGAAGTTTACATTAAATGCCGAAGCATATGGTTGTTGAAAAATATACTTTGTACAATATTATATGGATATATATGATGAAGTAAAGAAGACTTGATATTTTACAACTATGGGAACATTGGACTTATATATACATCTAAGGGAGAAATTCCAGCTAGTCTCATGTGCCTGTCAAACCTAGTGATGACTAGCCACCTCTCATCTACCATGTGTCACGATCCGTGAGAGCCGTATTGCGTGAGTGTGGGGATACGGGTTAGTGCGCCTTGGCATCACGTTGGATGACTGAGCACAGCCGAGGGAGATATCTTAGAGAGGGTCGAGAGTAGCTACCTCCTCTTTTCGTCTTTTATTGCCTTTACAAGCGTACCTCTTGATAGCAATATAATAACTTATACAACCTCCTTGACGTGCCGTAACACCATGATGGGCCAAAGTACACTGTAGTACGTAAATATCCAAACGTATATGCAGTGGTAGGCGCGATTAGCGCACTCGGGACATGTGTAGAGAGAGTCGATCTTGTCGGGAACCTGAGACGAAATAGATAGTGGTTGAGTCCTAAATTCGAGAGTCAAAATTTCCAACAATGGTTGCGAGGTTTGGCCAATATGCTCGAGTCTTAAAAAGCTTGTACGGACTAAAACACGCCGCACGGGTATGGTACTTACTGCTCTCTGAATTCCTAGTTTCAATTGGTTTCACTTGTCTTCCAATGGACCAGACTATCTTTAGGAATGATAAAACCAAAGTAGTTATTGGTATACATGTCAATAAACTGATTATTACTGGCTCAATTAATCAGGAGATTGGAAATCTCAAAGAAAACCCAAATAAAAGATTCAAAATGAAGAACCCTGGGATTGCCAGAAATGTTCTTGGGTTCGAATTACGCAAAAAGACGATTATATAACTATTGACCGATCTCAATACGCCAGAAGTATCATAAATGATTTTTCCATGTCTGGGAAAAAGATATATTTTACTCCAATGGCTAGTGATGCCGTTAGTGAACTAGAGCGGACACCAGGGAGACCTTGTACTAATGAAGAGTTGACAAGTTACTGGAGTCTCCTCGGAAAGCTGATGTATTTGTGTAATACAAGACCGGATATAATATTCGAGACTCATAAAATGGCACAATACTCCCATAAAGCATGCCACAACCATTGGATAGCACTTCTCCGAATCTTAAGCTATATTGAAGGTACAATTGACTATGGGATAAGGTATGGACGTGGGGATATTGAAACTCCTTATTATAAAGTAGATAATAACATAGAAGTTTACTGTGGGAGTTCAAGATCTACTGATCTAGTCACATTTGCTGATTCAGATTACTCTAGAAACCCTGGTGATCGAAAATCTATTACAGGGGTCATCATGAGGCTCAATGGAGGAGCAGTGGCTGCAATCAGTAAGAAGCAGACTAGCGTTGCAACATCTACTACAAATGCAGAATATATAGCAGCAAGTGAGGGAGCGAAACTCGCAATTTGGGGGGACAAATAAATATCTCATATCACAGGAAATCTGGAAAATTCAATTCCACTCCTATTGGGAAATAATAAAGCTTGTATACAACTCCAAGGTGGGTTCTCAAATACATCGAAAATTAAAGATGAGGATGTGGCATACTGTTGGAAATATCGCGCAATGTAATGGGCGCAATATTCATGGAACGAAAGTAGAAGTTGACTAAAAGAGTGTCATGTTCGGATTACAGCTAAAAGTGTGGGAAGTGTGCGCTACAAGTACAAGTGTAAGCGACACAGAGCCTAAGCCACAGCATAAACAAGTGTGGCGCCATCTAGGCATAGAAAACCCCCAATAACCTCCTTGCGCCCACGCCATACAGCCGCTCATATGTCCAATAGGTAGCCTGAAGCGCTACCATATTACCTGTTCTAACCTCTTAAATATACACGAGATCGTGTCGGGAACCTAGACGAAATGGAGGGCCCATACGTCCACAACACTCCGTGTCTCCATTTCCAACACATACCACCACAAAGTCGATGAAATAAATAAAGGTAAACTAGAAAGTAGATGGATAAGGGGTGATCAAATATTGCCTGATGGATTAAAGAAACCTTTACCTTGAACAATGTTTTAGCCGAAGAGAACTGCTATTGGAGTAGTCGAGATTGTGGAAGCTGATAATCAAACATAAGGGGAGTGTTATGATTGGTAAGTATTAGCCAAGATTACCATGTGATGCTTATCATGCACGGACTTTTGTATATCTCTGCTGCTAAGTAGACTTAGTAGAAGTCAGATCTTTTTATATACATAACTATCTAAATACAACAAATAGCTATCTTACTATATATGGTAGACTTGTGAGCTCAGACAGAGCGTCACACTTACAATTTTTGTTCTACCAGACGGTGCCATAGCTTTTCTCTCTGAAGCGAGAGCAGGTAGACTGGAGTATTGTTCGGATCACTTTAACAATATTTTCTGCCTCTTTCTCAATGTTGTCTACAGTCGAATGATCTAGGGGGTCGCTACGGCACCTCAATAGAGTTATAAATAAAACTTCGTTGATTGAGTCGTACAGTAGTCGCCTATCACAATTTTCATTCCCATTGTATTTGCCAGTTAAGGTGATCACCGCTGTCTCGTGATTGGATGTAGTATGAAGTTCAGAAGGGACCTCAAATTTAGCTCCAGCTAGGCAGGAGACAGCTAGGTCTAACGTTCCGCCGCCCTTGTGTGTCGACATTTGAGTTGGGTTTAAGAGAAAAAGTTACTTCTCTCTTGCCCATTCTAATAAATCTGCGGCCCCCCTGAGAAGCGTATGTAGCATGCGAGTCACAAGTTGGGTTTCGCAAATTAAAATATCCAACAACCAATTCAGGAGCACAAGTTGATTCGATTAACATTTTAAGGCCTTCTCCCGTTCTGATTGACCAAGCTGGAGCGTTGTACACATTCCATACAGCTATTTTAAGACCTCGCCTGGTGGAGATAACCACCTGCAGTAGGTCTGGAGAAGTATTAATTGCAGCTTGGTATTAGCGCAGTCATTGTGAACTGCTAATGTAGGTTAGAACTATCACAGGGGCAAATTTATAGGGTGTAATCACGTGAGAGTTATGGCGTAACTCTAAGCGAGCATACTTAGATTTAGATCTCTGCTTGTAGACTAGTTTCGTTCCTTGTGCAACTACAATTATCTATTCTGAACATCCGAGTATTTATACAACGCCAGCCCGTGATAAGAACTCTGGGGCGAGTATGCCATACGTCGAGTCGTGAAAAAAGCGCAAATTTTGGGTGTGAAATTGACCTTTTTGCTGTTAGATCTTTCAATGTCCAAGGTTCTTGTATGAGTAAAGCGTCAATCTTATTTTCGTGTGCGAGCTGGTGGGCCATATTGTGCGCGTAAGCTCCTCTTTCAATATTTACTTGCATGATTTGGATTGGTCTAATTTTTAGATATTTCTGTCTCCTGACCATATTTAATGGGTACGGTTGAATTCAGTGGAGGCCTCGGCACCCCTTTCGGCCAATTCCTGAGTATGCCTCAAAGTATTGGCAAGCTCTCTGCATCCAGCGGTGCGTATATGTCGCAACTGTGTCCCTGTTTGGCGAGCGAATACATCATGATCTCTGTGTTGACGAGCCAGGCATGAGGTATCAGTGAATTCGTGAGGCACACGGAAATTTAGGCAATGTATTTGTCGTGAGCATGACCTTCGTGAGAATCCATTCCAAAAGAGCTACATTTGAACTGGCGGGCGCAGGTTCTCGTGGCGTGGAAGCCAGAAAATTTATTGTAGGTACGCAATTGCTGCGTGTTCAAAATTTGTTGAACGCTTGTTGCTTGTCCAAAAAGCTGCATCCGGTATGGCAATTTGTGTGCCCTCGCCTCAGGAAAATGAATTCTATATTGCCTAAATGGGCTCATAGAGTCTGTAGACCAACGTGTCCAGGCTATATGTCGAATAGGAGTAGCATCCATTATAGCTCGAATTGCCGTCTCTACTATTAAAAGCCCTTTGAGTGGGTCATAGACTCCGTTTTATGTATTAAGTTCCTTTGGAATGGGACCGACAACAAATGTCGTCCAAGTCTCTTGTCTTTCCACCGTAGCATTCCAAAATCTTGCAGTAATGGCTTCACTATGCTATAAAATACTAGTTGATTTTGCCGGCGATGTGTCAAGCACTGCAACGCCGGACGGGACCTGCCATGCGTCGACTACAAGTGATGGGTCGGGGATCAGCCTTTGAACTTGTTGGCAGAGTAAAAACGGGTCTGCTTTGCGAGCTTCGTGTTCTCGATCGAGCCGAATCATGATCCTTTTGTCTTCTTTACCCTAATGCTGGGAAGGCGTTAATCTTGCCATGGGCCGACCTACATCAATGTTTGTTCCAGTTGAGACCGCTGCAGCCGTTAAGGTGGCCCATGTCCTCTTGTTGTCACTTTGAGTGGAGGGTTTTTGCTCTTGCTCGTGTGACGGTCTTAAAGTGGCGTTTTATTCAAACTGAACTCAGAGCTAGATACAAATGTTAATCTTAAAGTTACGAGCAGAGACATGACTGAAAGCCTCCTATTTATTTACAAGACTATGATCTCGTTCCCTCATTTCATACCATTCTCAAAATAGATCATGACCTGTCCTCCGACAAACACCAGCATCTCCGTCTATTTTAATTCAGCTTCATTTTAATGTTAGCAATTTTAGTTATTAAAATAGTTATGATGCATGTGGCTTAGATGACTCACGAATAGTGTTCGAGTCGTCCTGTCTGCAATCTAAATTTGTCATTTAAGAATAGATTTGTATGAACTGGGCCAAGGCCTATACTTGGGTCTAATGAGTCGTGGAGGGGTTCAAGACATGTATGATGTTTAATATGGTTGGAAGAGTTCAAGCCTTATTTGTTAGGCAGCAGCCTAATGATAACCAGGTATGAGCCTGTGACAGAGAGTTCACTGAGCTCTTGTAAATCTTCTGTCCTCTGATGGCTCGTGATACCCCCTATGGGATAAGAGCTAAGAAGTCTGTACCCGCTCCCGGGCATTCCTTTTCCATATCTTCAAGGTAAGGTCCAATGTCACGGTTTCAGTACAAAATGCTTGGGCGATCTTGTAAGTACAGTATATTAACTATAATTCTCTAGAGAGAGAATTCCTATAGCTAGACTACAAATATATATACACTCCGAGATACTCCTCTGCCATAAGGTTCCACTATGACTTGAATAATATGGAATCTTCGAACATTCCCTAGAAGACTATCAGGGGAAGCGTACTGCTTGTGGTGAATTATAAGTTATATTTAATATAAAGAGAGAAGACTCTCATTGCTACATAGAAATTACAAAGAGTACGGAATCCCGGATTAGCTTTATGCCGAGTTTAGACCAATTAGAGTGCATCATTGGGAAGAGACGAGCGCCTAGATATCTACAGGCTACGGCTGTCACAACGACTCTCGATATGTCTGTCATCCTCATGAACCTTCAGTATGCTTCCAGAAGGTTCATTAAGATTCCCTTGATGTCATTGCCTGCGCTAGCCTGCGTAGGCTACAGGAATTCTTAGGCTTAGCAGCTGTTACATCTAACTAGATTAAGTAAACCTCTGGCTTTTTGTTATAGCCAGGCATCCTTGAAGAGGTTTCAAGGGGAAGGTTCTGAGGAAAAGATGATATGAGAAAGTTTTAAGAAAGGTTTTGGGAAAAGGTTTACTGAGAACTTTTCCGGGAAAACTCCGACAGTTAGAGATGGAGGGGCGGGCGTCATGACAGCATTTTTCACAGTCTTAGTTGAGTTCAAGTACTATCTCGAGTTAGACTTAAGGAAGCTGGAGCTGCCACATAGTAGCTCTCCAGCTTCTCAATCTTTCATTCTTTTGATCTTTGATCTTGCAATTGTGATAGAAACCGAGTTGGTAATGAAAAAATCGATTTAATAAACTCTATGAAGAAGAGAAATCTAACTACAGCTACAAGGTACTTATAACATTTTGTCCACTCTATGAGTCTCGTTGCTTATACCTTTTCCTTAGGTCGAATAATTACCGCACGGCTACGCATTGCCCATATTCACTGTGCTATGACATTGCTTCGATCCCAACAGTATTATCCTCAGAGCCCTCAACAATGCGCTTAGGTATTCACCTAAACTTAAACAACGGGTAAACCGTAACAGCAATCTAGATTTACATTATGTCATAATCTTATATTCTCACAGTCCGATATTCTCAGCCTTTCGTTATTTGTTACATTCTTTGTACTTCTGTTCACCCTGAGTTATCACCCTTGATTACCTGCTCGTCAACTCGACTTCTTAACTTCATGTCTTTCAACTATTCTGTAGTTCTACAACCTTTGACTACCTGGCACCTCGCCAAGCAAATCATATCTAAGTATCCTTTGTTAGCAACTGTAATCCTATCAGTTATTAATACCTTATCTTCGGCAGACGGCGATCTCCAGTATCCTTAGCGCACGCCGTAACACTGTTGGCATGAGGGAATGTGACGGCTTGTGAGCCGATAAGTGTTGGAAATATCGCGCAATGTAATGGGCGCAATATTCATGGAACGAAAGTAGAAGTTGACTAAAAGAGTGTCATGTTCGGATTACAGCTAAAAGTGTGGGAAGTGTGCGCTACAAGTACAAGTGTAAGCGACACAGAGCCTAAGCCACAGCATAAACAAGTGTGGCGCCATCTAGGCATAGAAAACCCCCAATAACCTCCTTGCGCCCACGCCATACAGCCGCTCATATGTCCAATAGGTAGCCTGAAGCGCTACTATATTACCTACTCCAACCTCTTAAATACACATAAGATGGTGTCGGGAACCTAGACGAAATGGAGGGCCCATACGTCCACAACACTCCGTGTCTCCATTTCCAACAATAAGTCCTGTAGCCTTCGATGGCTATCGAAGGCAACCTATATTATCTATCACTCCGAGGATTATCAGCAGACGAAAACTGATACGAGATTGCCACTGAGGCTACGTAAAGAATAGTGCAAAGGGTATCGGAAGCGTTACCCGTGTGGCAGAACAAACCTTATGTCAGTTTCATTGCCACTGTAAACGTAGGCTAGATTTAGATACCTCTGAATGTGTATAAGTAGCAGAGGAGACTTGTAGGTAGTTTGCTTCTACATAGATGAATTATAGCTTTACCTTTCAATCATACAAATGCCCATTCGCTTTCTATATTCGAACTGTGACAGAAAAGTACGGTAGCTCCCTTCGGGCTCGTTGTTTTCTGTGTCTATCTCAGGGATTAGGGTTTGACAGTGTTCCACGGGGTGCGTTGTATAGCCTAGTAAAGATCTAGGTGGTAAGTGAAGATTATAAATGGGTCAAAGGGATGACAGGTCTTCTCTAGGAAGAGATGAAAGGGCAACTAGTTGCAGTAGATGTTACACATGGGTCTTGCTGATGAAGAACTGGGCAATGGATATGTGGTCTTCCCGAAGAAGAGATGGGTGAACAAATGTATTGTAAAGGGTAAATAAAGAAGACGCTGCGTGAGGAGTAAATCTCTCTCACGCTGAACTATTATATACAAGAGTAGAAGCCTTTGCCAACCGGAATTAATCATAATCAATTCTTGCCAATATTTTCGCATTAATGGCTGTGTTCTTGTCCTTCTCTTCATGACTCTCTTGCATATCCTTACATGACTTTTTACACGACTAATTGTATAGGGGAAGCTATTATTAAATTGATGTCTTTAATTAACTACCCCTTCATCTTATCACGAATTAAAATTAGTATTAAAATTCTAATTACGGATCCGTGAAAGTCTAATGGGGTCAGGCTAGGCTCTTCTTTGTCAGCATCTGTTGTGATAGGTCTATGATTCGGGTGTACATACAATTTGTGGGAGCTAGCTGCTTGTAATCACAGATGGGCTGCTGGGCCGGACAGGTCAAGAAGTGGAGCAGAGAATGATATCTGTAGAATGAGGAAAGACTGAATTGCTTACTCTATCTTCTGTGGAGGAAAGCTCCCTACTTATAGTCCCTAGACTATTGCTTACTAATGATACTAACTCAACAAAGCAGGAGCAAACAGAGCAAACACATGCAGTTGCGTGACCATCATAACTTGAGTTGCGCACTGTAGCTATGTAAGTCTAAGCACAACAGTATCTGTTTGCTACGTGGGGATTGTACTTTCAGGAAATGTATTATCTGTGAACTGATCTTCTTCAATTGTGTCCTTCTCTGTTACAGACTTACTGCCTTGTATGGCTAGAATCGGAGTTGTCTAATTCCATCTGTAATGATTGATCACATGACATTATTTGGTAGCCAAGCTTGGCTTGGTTACGTAAGGCTCAGCATATCGTTAATTGCTGTAACAGCTGGTAAGCCAATTGGTCCCTGTAGCACATGTTGGTCAACATGAGCCTGGCCTAACATTGGTAGCGCACAATTGATCAACATTGATGAGCAGATATATGATGCCACTCAACAGGATTTCAAGGCATTGGCATCTAGTTTGGCAGGGCAGCAGTATTGGAACACATAGCTACAACACATTGAGGTGTTACAACAAGTAGGGCCAACACATGTGAAGAATCCCATTGGATCCGAGACAGAGGGACTGTGCCTCAAACACATAGACAATGTAGATATATATATGTATAGATAGAGTCTGAAGTAGTTCTCTCTTCAGAATGATAATTTACATACTATTGACCACATAGTTGCACCAGCGCCTGTTCCTTGATCCGTGACAATTGCGTAGCTCATATAGTCCTTTTGTTATACAGAATATAAACTCCATTTTGTATTCTCTTGTGCGAACAATATTACTAGTCTTTTTACTTTGTACCTAGGACTCAAGACCTGGTGAGTGTCAGGAGGGGCATTTTGGAGCACTAATGCATGAAGTCCTCGAGAAACGGCGAATCCAGAGATTGCTGCTTTCAGCTTTGTAGGAATGTTGGAAATGGAGACACGGAGTGTTATTATCAGTATGTAGACAGCAGGGCGGAGACATGGGTCAAAGAGGTGGTATTTAGGCTAAAGGGCGCCATCCTACATTATGCATGAGATAGGTGCATAACCGCTCGGTCAAAAGGCCAGACCAGAATCATAGAACAATAGATTCTG